CAGCTCTGGAAGCACTGTTGCTCAAATCTGGCCAGGCGATGTACAACTCTGCTGCAAATGTCTTGACACAACTACCCTTAATAAGTGCCACAACTTCTTCTTTTTTCATGTAACGAAATTTTGCGGGCGACACATGAATTAGTGAGAGGACTGCTTCATGTTCGAACACAACATCAGCTTCGACTGAACCTTGATGACACTTGACAGCCAATTTATAATGCAAGCTTGCAATAAAAAAGGTTGCGGTTAGTTTTGCCCCAAAAATTTGAAAAGTAGTGTTGCAGAAAAAGGTGGACCTTGGTGTTGCAAACTCACTCTGGTCGTTCTGGAGTTGAACTGCACATACTCTTTCTATACACAACCTGTGAGATGTCGATGATGCATTGATAAAGGATCTGTGGTAAAGGATTTATTGTCTGAGTTAGTAAGAAGTTGAGAAAGAACGTTGTGGTTGCTTGTTTATCTTGCAAAGCATTAAGTTCTGTAGGTACCTTTTGTCTTTCTGGCTGGCCATTGAGCTGCTCCTTGATTTCTGCTAGAGTTTTCTTTGGTGACCGATTGGTGCGGAGCCAACCAATTTTGTCTCCAGCTGGACCATTGATGTACCAAACTGGTTTGCGGGCCTGCACAAAGCTATCTTGCGATAAAAAAATTTAGTCAGTTATCCTTTACTGTTTCTGCAATATAAAACAATAAAGTAATGCACCGCAAAATGAAAGCAACTCATTTGTACATGTCCATGACATCCTCAAAGCCATCTGTGTAGGAACGAATGCTGAGTTGACTGGCAGGTGTGGATTCAAACTCATATTGGTATTTATGGTCGTTGGTAGGAACTACTCGCATCAGGGATGTAATTTTGACAATCAACGGCATGCACTGTTCAGCTGCTGGTGCATTCTCTAAAACTTCACCGATATCATACCCATAATGGTGAACAATTGCTTTATCTCCACTGATTGCAAGGCAAATACGTGAGTTTCTAAATTTTGCAAACAACAATAATTTTTTTTTTAATTCTGAAAAGCATACCAGACATCCTGTATGACCAAGTCGAATTTCTTTAGACAACCTTCGATGGTTTCTGGAACTGTGATACGGCGCACACAGCCTATCACTTCTGTAATTTCAATTGTTAATATGTTATTGGAAGCTGTAAAATGATTGTGTGAAGATGTTATGTAGAAAACGTTACCTGCATGGCATTCAAACTTGGGTGTTCTTATTGGCAATGGTGAAAAAGTGAATCGCATGTATGGGCGCACTGGAAATTGTGATGTGTCTTCCTTATCTTCAATCTGGCCGATGATCTGGTTCGGAGTCAGGTGCAGGCGTAGTTCTCTTGGTACAATGCATTGTGTTTCTCTTGCGGGTCCAGCAACAATATCACGGAGTTGATGCAAACAGCCAATTTTAATCTTCTTAGAGATTTCTTGAATGTGCTCCTCTTCAACCAAAGCTTCGACCAGCTGGCTCTGAAATATGCGAAGAAATTGTTGGTGTTTTGCATAGGTAGGCGAACTTCTTAGTTACTCAGAATACTTGCATGATTTATACCAAAGAGGGTAATAAAAATTTGTGTCAGTAATTTTTTCTTTGTATACATATAATGGTTTTAGAAGTGGGAACGCGCCTTTTTGTCGAGCCAGAGCATGTGCTGAGTCCTTTTCTTCCAAATCTGTCCGTGTTGGTATTCTGACCATATAGCGACAAGGCGACACACAACGGACGATGGTTGGTGCCCAAACGTAAACCCCGAAAAATCCATGGAAGCCACAATGACATCTAGAACACGAATAAAGGTAAGACAGAGAAGTAAAATAACAATCGTGCGAAAATCGCAGAGGATTCGAGACACTTTCGCAGGACCACTTCATAAAATTAAGGCGTCTAGCTTTCACCTTGCGGATCGATGGGGATAGCTGAATCGCTTTCTTTAGAGTGTCGTTCATTTCCCAAATCATCCATTTTCGGTGGGGTCCCTTCAGTAGCAGACGAAACCCATTTATGAGTAGTAATCTTAAACTGTAAATTAGTGGCGCAGAAAAAGATGGGGAATTACCTCCGAGGTCTGGTTTGTCTGGCAGTTAGAGGTGTGGGGTTTGCGCGGCGGATTTTTAGGAGATTGTGATTCTAAGCTGGTGAAGGATATTAAGGTTTATAGAGGTTGAGGCATTAACGGGCCAGACATTGGGCCTGTATGTTTTGGTGGGCCGTGGGGTCTATTGTTTTCGAACATAAAAATGTTCTCTCAACTAATATAAGCATATGTATATCAATCCCATGGGCCCAAAACACAACAGATCGAGGCTTTTCTTTACAAATTGACAAAATTGATTTTCTCCAACTTACAAATTTGGTTGGAACCATTGTGTGGAAAATCGAACACTTGATGCACTGGGGAACTTTTTCCTTACCTATTAATAACTTACACAGCCAACTAATATAAAACTCCAAGGAACATATACTATCTGTTCTTGACAAAAGTGTTGTTGATCTATGCCAAAATCAGTAGCTTTTGGTACGCTGCAGATCTTCCAAGCACACATCTTGTTGCAGCAAATCTGGAGAAAGAGATTTATTCAATAAAACTCATTGATGCACTTTCATACACCATGTTATCAGCAAGAAAAATGGTAAACTTCAATTGATGTTGTTGACTGGGTGATTCATGTGCATGTTGATATTGGTTTGGACTACTAGTGAGGCTGGTTGAGGTTGGCCACATAAAGGATGGTGAACTCCAAAGGGGTTTGAGGTAAATAGCCAGGTTTAGGGAGTTGAATGTTAAATGAAAACCAACGTCCATTCATGGCAACAATTTCTGGAGGGCAATTGCCATGCTGTTGAAGGTTACGCGCCAACAGTTCGTCAGCAGGAACTCCAAGTAATGACTCAGCGGTTTTTCCAAGCATGATAAAGCATGCAGAACCTGTACTGTCTCCCACTGCCAAATGGATTTTGTAGCTGATAAAATGTACAAGAATTTCAGCGTTAGCTAATTGTGGAAGTTGCAATGAAGAAATAGTTTTATGTTAGACAAACCATTTCTGGGTTTCCTGACCCATCAACTGCCCATGCTCATCACACCAAAAATCAGTCGTACCCAGAAACTCTCTAGCTGTTTTGGAGCAAAATGCACATCCTAGGTAGCGTTAGCTAACATCAATTTTGTACACTATAGCATTAGATATCGTTGATGAGGAAAAATTGAAACCACAAATGAACACTATAATTCTTGATAAACGGGAGGCATACAAAGCAATGCTATTTCTAAGCATTTGCAAAAAAACATTAGATTAAGTCAGGTGGCAGTTGTTGCTGCGAAATAGCCAGACTAACAAAGATTTACAGAATATGTGGGTCATGTTCAGGGAACGGCATGTACAGTACAGAAGATAACCTAATAGCAAGTTCTCATATTGCAAAAGCACACAAGCATAAATTGTTTGACATTCTCTGCAGAATTTGACAGCTATCATGTGAATGGACTGGGCAAAGCATGTTGAATCACTTGTCAAAGGCTGATTCGTCCCATAGCGTGGGAATTCGGATATGTGGCGTGGAATGCGAATTTGGGCACTTCAGATCTGGCCACGCAATGTATAGATCCCCTGCAAATGTCCTGTTACGGTGCCTCCCGAGAAAATGGTTGATGTCCTCCTTACTCAGCGCCATGTACTTGTTTAGTGGTACACAGAGCAATGACAGAACTGCCTCGTGTTCCAGCACGACGTCAGCTTCCTCTGAATCGTCGCGGCACTTTGCTTCCAGTTGATAGCGCAAGCTTGTATCAAAGAGTTAATGTTAGGTTTGCAGCTAATATATGTATTAGCTAGGGAACAAACGACACAGGTATTATTAAAACTTACCCCGGTATTTCTGGAGTCGATCTGCAGATGGATTCTCTGTAGATTACCTGCGTGAAAACAAACTTGCAGGTATAGAGGATCTGAAATCAAACGAATTGTTTTTATTGTTGTCAGTGGGCTAAGTATAGAAATCGGTGGATGTGCACGGGGTGTAAAGAATCAGCAGGGGACTACCTTGTTGCCGCTTGTTGTAGAACCAAGGGCTGCCTTAATCTCACCAAGTGTCTTCTTTTCAGGTCTTGGTGCTCGCAGCCAACCTAGCTTCTCCCCAGCGTCCACTCTGACGTAAGGAACTGGTTTTCGCTTCCTTAGGAAACTATATTGGAGGCAAACAAATTGTGTTAGCGTTGAATCACTGGTGATGCAATATTTGTTGGTCAACTAATGTGCAGGTAATATTGAAAGCAATGTGCATGTGCATGGTGTCCTTGAAGGCATCTGCGTATGTTTGTATAACCAGTCTACTGGCGGGCGTGGATTTAAATTCGATTGCATATTTATGGCCATTTGAAGGAGGCACTCGCATTGCTAACTTAACAGTTGTGATAAGAGGCAAGCGAGCTTCAGCAGTTGGTGCATCCTTTAAATAGTCATCTATGTCATAGCCACGGTAACAAACCACGGCCTTTGCTCCACTGTTTGTAATAAAAAATATGTTATTCTGTCAATTTTCATAAAGGAAATAATGGTTATTAATTCTTGAAAACATACCACGCATCCTCGATGACCAAAAGGAACTCTTTCAAGGTTCCATCAATTGTTCTTGGGGCTGTTAGGCGCCTAACGCATCCCGTGATGTCTAAATCATAAAATTGAGTTAAGGCACAAAAACATTTATTAGGATAGTGTAATGAGATAAACAAATGAAAGCGCACCTGAATGGCAGTCGTAGCTATCTGTTTGCCTTGGCGCCACTGAAAAGTCAGAGTTTATGTATGAGCGAACGGGAAACTGGGAATTCTCGGGGTCCTCATGAACATAGGAAATTTGTTGTCTGGATGTCAGCAATAAGCGTAATTCTCTGTGAACAATCCGACCCGTTCCTCTTGCAGGGACAGCAACAACTGTATCCAGTCGATGGAGCTTGTTGACTTTGATTTTTGTGGAAATTTCCCTGATGTCCTCCTTCTCAACCATTCCCTCGAGCAATTGGTCCTGTCAGAAAGCAGCCGATCATTGAAACACTCCTTTGCCATGTGAGAAATTGTTCAGATTCTTTGTAATCTAAGTGCTGAAAGCACCATGCACAAATTTGTTATAATGAAAAATGCAGAATGGTGAGATCTTGCAAAGATGTCTGGTGTTTAATCAACAACCTTTTTGTCAAGCCAAAGCATGTGCATGGTTCTCTTCCTCCTCATGTTTCCTCTCCTGACTTGAAACCATAACCTGACAAGCCGTGCGACCACAGTACGATGGTTGCAACCCAAACGTAAACCTCGGAAGGTGTCGAAAGATGCAACAGGATCTATAACACAGCTCAAGATTTTGTGATTTAGCAAAGCGGCCAGCCTTTTTTAGTGGGCGGTCGTATCGGAATCGATAATGTTCACAGGACCAATGACCCAAAACTGACTGCACTCACCCTGAAGATCGGTGGGGACCATGGCATTGCATCGTGCACGTTCCCGATCTTGCCGCGACGTGGCCATTTCAAGTGTGGTTTCTGATTTCCCTACGAAGGAACCGATGAGCAGTAATTTTAGGAACTGTAAGAATGGCGATGTAGAAGTAGTCGAGGACCCACCTTTGTGGCAGGAATTTACTGCGGTCCAAGTATGGGGCTTTCGCGGCGGTTTGCGATCGAGAGCGCAGAGGTTGGTTTCTTCGGAAGCCTTGCGAAAGTTCAGGGATTCGAAAGGGCAAACTGTCCGTGATGGTGTCATAAAACGAAAATGGACGTTGGGCTTTGTTGTTTGGGCCTACACCCCACCTGTTTTACATTTGAGGCACCGATCTTTATCGCGGCTTACACGGGTAAAAATTTCAATCTTTTTTGTTTCTTTATTGGGCTGCGTACACTGCATCCAGCGGACCAGTACCATTGCTGATAATAATTTGAGAAGTTATCAATTGGCAAAGCTTGAGAGGTTTGTTAATTCTCGTTAGGTAGTCTGCATTTTTCCTGAGATTCCCTGCTACTTAATATGCATTTTCATCTCTGTTTAGATTCATGATTTTCTATCGGGCAAATTAACAAAAAGTTCTAGAAAACTGACACTTATCAATCATAGAACAAATGCTTATCAAAGCAATACTTCTAATTATGGAAATACGATCAAGACTACCAACCTAACATAACAATCTAACCTTTCTAATTAACTCCTTCATTACCTAAGCAATCTAAACAGGCTTGAATCTAGATGACTCATTTAAGCGATGCTATGATTTTCTACATGACCAGAATAGGAACACTACAGTTAGTACTGAGACAATAGGTGATATTGCAAGAGTGGTGCTGCATACTAAGGTACAAAACGATCCATGCATATCAAATACGACTCCCCACCTTTACCTTACCTTCCACTGCAGGAAATGAGAGAGACTGGTCATCGACCAAAAAGACTGGTCATAGAGACTAAGAATTGTTCTCAAGGACAAACCTCATAGGACAATAACCACACGAACACAAAGACGCTAAAAATCGGTAGCACTTGAGCTAAAAACAATTCCAATAGCTGAACGAAAAAACACCCACAGACATACAAATTACCTATTTTGTTAGCCTGACACTTGTCTCTAGAATGACTACACAAAGTACACATTTTACAATTATGGAGGGCTTGAATCACACCCTCAATTAGTGGCACACCAAGAAAACCGGTTAGCTGTAAGGGAAAACAAATGGTGAATAGCAGTTTGAAGGCTTGGTGGTATTGATTTGATCATTCTGCAGCCAACAGTTATACAATAAAAATTTGTTGTCATATTATATATAAAATAAAATAAAATATAAAATAATATAATATATATAATCCTATGAAAGGCCACAGCAAGAGACAAAATTTTCTCGTCGGCGCATCAATTGGAAAAAAGACACTATCACCCAAATGGACAGACGAATAACATCATCTCCTAACCCACAAACGAACACCATGCTCAACATTAAGAGCAGTGAAAGCACACAAACAACACAAAAGAAGAACATCATAACCTGAAACTCGAATGCAACCTACTGCAACCGCAATGGGCCAAAGACAATACAAAAAAGCGGATGGCAAGATGAAAAATCCATCACCATGGGATAATCCAGTGTACACATGTGTTCATCCCTTGTTCCAAACACCCAACCACCTTCGTTGTAGTCTAAGAATACAGCTGAAAAAATGACAGAGTTGAAGTCAAATTACGGTCGGCAATAGCAAAGAAAAAATGAGATTCATGAAGGCAAGGCAAACACAATCATCAAAGAAACAATTACCAAATGCAAAACGGCAACACGTTGATCTGCATCTTCCTGTAGCCCTCTCTGTACCCTTAAAATCCATTGACCAACCAAGGGATCCACTCATCTTGACCAACCAAAGGTCCCACTCATCTTAGAACCAATCACTTCTTGCTCCAGCAAAGTCGACCCTAATGGCTTAATTGACCGCCCAACAATGAGTAGATTGCATAACAAACACCGCTGAAAAAGGAAAACAGAGAAGAACCAGCGTAAGATATAGAGGTGCTCAACAGCGACGGATGAGAGATAGCGAGAAATCTCACCCGGAATCCATTTTCGGATTGCCCTTAAAATCCAAGCAATCCACCCCCGGCCAATGAAATCTCTGTCAAGAACTGGTCGCCTGCATTTCTTTGGAAAAGAGAAGAAAAAGAATTACAAACTGAAAAGGCTAAGCACCACAGAAAAAAGATAAAGCAAAACCATCAAAACCTCACCTCTCAACGGCATGGTTCGCAAATCTGGTTTCCCTTTGTCGTGGAATTCGTCTTCCCGGGTCGTGGGTACTGTCCAACCCCGATCAACAAAGGAATAGATGCAACAGATCTGGCGATTCTAGGCGTTCTCCGCGTTCTCTCCACGTCAGACATGGATTCTCGGCCATTCCTAGGTGGCCGATTGCAACGACCGCTTGCAAGATCTCACCCCCTTCTTGCTCCAACCAATCTTTTGAAGGTGAGAAGAAAAAGAAAGAAACCAATTAATGATGAGATAAATAATTTCTCTCTCGGCAAGAGAAAGTGCATTAAGATTTAAAGTGATGAAAGAGTAACATAAATCTCAATCAGGAAAACCAGAAAACATACTCTGGGGATCTGAGTATCTTCCAATTCCTCTCCGACCCTCTCAAATTTGCCAGTTGATTGCTCCAAGCTCTGCTGGTTTCGAAAATGAGAAGAGAGCCAAAAGTAGAGAGAAAACAAAAGATGATCAATATATATAAACCATTACGAAAGAAACAAAATTTTGAAAGACAGAGGAACAATCACATGAAATCAGTATAGAACCTGTGGTTCTGGGTGTTCTTCGAATCCTCCCTCCCTCTTCCAAATAGCTCCAAATCCACTACAGGACACTCAAATCCCAACAGTCAAATCACAAACGAAATCAGGGAACTCCGATCGATCCACTGAAACAAACGAAATACAAAGCATCCATAGAAAGACTCACCACAGGAGATTCACAGCTGAAGGATGAATCAGCTCCGATGCAAAGCTCGGATCCTTCTGTTCCTGAGAGAGGCGATGAACAAACCTGAAAAAAGAGGATCAAAGAAACCCCATTTTTCTAGATAGAAAGAGAGAGAATGAGCCCAGTCAAGAAAAGGAAGAGAAAACGAATGCAAAGAAAGAGGAAGATATATATTTCAAGAGAAGAGTGCTCCTCTGACCTCGATGAGAGAGAATATAGCACCACGGGTAGATTAGGCTAACCACACATATTTTTTTCTGCCAACCGTCAACCTCATTTGTTCTGCCTCCCTGACCAAGCTCCTATCCCCTGATATATTTTTTTTCCTTTCTCTGCTTCCTGATTAGTCCCCTCAATTACCTCTCCAGTTTCAGAAAGCACGCCCAGTCTACATCAGCAAGACATACCTCTCTTCTCCCATCCCTCCTCTCTCAGCCTCCGAAACCGGCACGACTCCCACCTCTCAAGCAGGCCACACCTCAAATACTCTGACCCTGCCCTAAGCCACTTGCAGAGCCACTGCAATAAACCCTTCCAGTCCCCCTATGGCCCACCATCTCTGAGTTTCCCACCCACGGATACGTCGATCGCCTGCAGAGGCCCCGACACAGCTGCCAAGGAAAATAGACCGGCCGCCTTAAATCAATCCAATCAAGCAACTGGGCAGGCTCCAGCCACCGAGAGGGCCCTGGTGACCAACGCGTTCGTGGACCACAACCGATCCAGCAGACCAAAACAGCCCAACGACCAAGTTCCTTCCCAACCGACCCGCCAAACACCCGTACGATCCCAAAGAGCCCCTACCCAACGCCAGCCCACACAGCGCCAGCTTCCGGGTTATAACAGTACATCCCGATCAGCATGAGCAGTAAAAGCAGTCTGCGTGTGCAGTACCAGGTCCTGCGGTGGGATTTATTTCTTTCAATTTCATAGACCCCATTACCAATACACCACAGTAACTAATGAAAGAGCAACTCTACTTGAACCCATCCTTCAGTCAGTTAACGAATTAGGGTCATCGGTACAAAAGATGGAGAAAAAAAGAGAAACCAATAACTAAGTTACAATGTTACATTAGTATCCACTCCCCACTGAAAAAAACAAATATACCTCGCTAAACTTACTAGCTGCCTTCACATACCTCTTCCCCTCTTCCTGATCGTCACCTTATCTCTGTTCATCACTCTTTATGTCTCATCTGCCCGTACAAACTCCAAAACTCTTTGCCGGTAGCCTTCCCATCAGGGCAGTACGCAATCTGAACCCTCTCCTCCACCAACTGGTAGTACCTCAAGAACTCAACAATCTCAGGTTTCTTTGCCGTGAAGGCTATACCTCGCATCTTCAAAATCTTGGTATAGTCCATCTACTCCTTATCTTCGAAACATCTTTCCTAGAGTTGGGGGTGGACTGCTTCCAGGTAGCCATTAGATGCACAGAGATCTGAATGGCAGAGTTATAACAGTAAGTCGAGAGAAAACATACCCGAAAAACAACTTGCTTATTGTCAAGCCAGTCACATTTTGCACAGGTGAGGAAGAACTGCAGTTATAGGCAAACAATTCCAGATTAGACGAATGTTGGAAACTATCATGCATTTCTGTAGAGACTCTATGCATTCGTGAACTGAAGTTAAAGCCACTTTGAGACCAGGAAGTTATGACAGAACATCCAGTTACATAGTACAGTAACTGAATTGTCTGTATTGACTGCCTAAAAGACCTTGGGAGGCACTTCGATATTACTCAGGGTGGAATACTCCATTCTCACCTGCGGGCTACCAGAAATTGATGAATATGCATCAAGCACAACTTTAGAAATCTTGAGAGGCAATAAGAGTTAAATATGCATCAAGCACACCTAATCCTATATAACGTCGAACACGAGATCTGCCCACTTCCCGGAACGAGTGCCTACTAAGGGTTTCACCGCTAGGCTCTATGACCTTTGGCAATATCTTGGTTTTTTAATATATGACAAACGATATACATAAGCGTTCAAATTTATTAGATATAATTTGATATACTTAAATCAACGAAAACATTAGTTAATATTTTGTATTAAGTTAATCTTATGATTTGGATTCAGAAAATTACCAACAAAAAATTTGGCTAAGGCGCTTCCCTGTTGCCAAAAGAAAACAAGATAACAACCAAACAATATATTTGTTTTCGTTTTTAATATATACTAGTTTTCTTTACCCGCGCTCTGCGCCGGGACTTGTGTTTAATATAAAAAAATATACTTGTCCATAAGATAAATAGATTAACGGGATGCCAGGTGCCAATTAGCATACCAAAACATGATCAGAGAATCAAGCATTCTATAATCAACTCATTAAGGATAATAAGATGCCGTGTTCCAATTAGAATTAAATCAGAGCCACTTATAGGAGGTCTGTATTCCTTTTGAGACCTGCCAAAGAACCCAACTCGAGCATATTCATTCGCTAAATACCACCACAACATTTGCGAATAACATGAGTCCAAGAACTATTTAATACCAATTTCCATCTTGTACAATTCAACTTAAAGAAAAGTATATAGCCAACTGGAATGCATTTCTATGCGAATGAGCTGCCTCGAATTGGAAAACAACATATCCTGAGCATCATTGAGAAAAGATGAACCTGAAAGGAAAACACCGAACAAAAATAAACATCAAATCCCTCCCACGTAAGAAAATACCATGTCTAGAAAGATATTGTATAACGGAGAGATGTCCTAAACGGCAAAGCACTCAACCCACATACCAGAAGAAACGCAGTCGTCTTGGAAGAGTATAAAAAAAAAGGAACTGGCGTAATTATCCCCTAACTATTTGGAAGTTCACTCACATCTACAAAATTTACCAACTTGGTCGCTTTGAATCCCAGCCTTTAACCCCACGATTTGTACTCAATTCAAGCACCACAACAAAACAGGAGAAAACCACAATCAGAGAATATTTAACGTCAAACTAATTATGTTCAAAATATAAAGCATGTATAAACCTCCATTCACAATGTAAGCAACAGCGACAAACACGTCAAAGTCCCATATTTTTCTATCAATCATTAGCAAGCCTAGGCTTAGGCAATACAAACGGAATAGTGTAAAGTAAAGGATCAATGAGAATGAATCAATATAATATACTATGAGAAACAATTATATAAATTATTTTTTTTTTTTTTTTGACAAAAGATAGTTATATATTTATATCAGACCAAGAAAAGTTACACCCTGGAAAACAGCCAGGTCTGATAATCAAATACAGGACTCATAGCCGGGGACAAAGAAAGGGCCTTTCTAGCCACCGAGTGGGCTACCCTATTGTTACACCGACCTACAAATCGAACCATAAACTCCTCCTGGGGACCAAAATATTGCACAACTTCCGCAAGAACCGCCCCTGCCTGGGTATCTCTTGTATCGCCCTGATTGATTTTATCAATGATCACTTTGCCATCTCCTTCAAAAATGACGTTTGTAAAGCCAAGCTCCAGACACCAGAGGATCGCTGCCCGAAGCACAAGTAACTCCACCACCATGGGATTATCAATTACCGGGATGTGGACCCCTTTAACCAAGAGGATCTCGCGAGAGGAAGTCAAGATAACAATCCCACCAGCTGAGTGAGACCCTCCCTTAGTCGCACCATCCCACATACACACCATTCTACCAGCCTCCACCGATGGTAGCTGAACAGTCCCCGGGAAGGAGGAGCCGTGTGTAACACCTCCTAGCGGCACATTTTCCCATTCCTCACATTGCTGGTGAAGCTGACGCATCAAAGCAGGGATATCAAACTGCTTACCCTCAAACACCACCCAATTCCGAGAGCGCCAGATCCTCCAAAGGACAGCTACGACTAAATTAGAAGCGTGTTCTTTACAAATTATTAAAGAACAGATTGCTTGAATATAGGTATAGAACTTTATCAGGTAGATATAAGAATGAACGAGAACAGAATCACAGCTTAAGGCCTTATATGTAAAGCTTCTGAATTCCAAGAATTGACTATGAACATTAGAACAAACAAACCACAAAAGATCCATAAAGCTTAGCGGTGAATGTTTGCAAATCTTCATAAAACTTGCTAAACTCACCACTTCAGAAACCACAGCACAATGATGCAAAAATAAGAACAGAACTGAAGCTAACTTAACTTCCAATAAATGTTATTTTCTCCGACAATAAGCTACCCTTCCTAAACTCCTGTCCCTCATGAACTTAGACTACGGTTAGAATAGATCATCATCTGCATTTTATGTATCAGTGAATTTGAAGAAATCTCATACACTAATAGACAATGAATATAAAACACACTTTCACTCACGCATAGTTTATTACTGAGCCATTCCAGAGATTTAATCAATCCTATAATCATAATCAAACACACCACCGGAAAAAAACTCACAACGATAGGCAAAAGAACTAATATGGTCATGCACATGGGATCATAGGCCAATCCAGGGAGTTCCATAAACTTGCATGAAGCTTAAACATCATTCGGCCACAATACTATAAAAGATGACTATGATTCTCACAGAATTGTTTACCGTAAACAAACCCACATTTCCTGGGTAATATTAATGACACTTACATTACATAGCATCACAGAATATTCTTCATTCAACACCAATCCACGTGATGAGACAGACACACCATCTGCACAAACGACAACAATTAAATCAACATGTTAAAATGCTGTAGAGGTAATGTATAATGCTAAATAAAGAATAGACTTATGATTACTGAGACAGAAGCACAACTTTGGATCACAAAACCAAAAAAGCTGGATTGAGCATCTATATAGGAGTCATAGAAACAACACTACAGATCACTGCATATGGTGGTACTCAAATTACTTACTCTTCTAGTGAGAAGAAAACAGTAGCATGGAAAGCATTGCTTCACAGTAACAACATAGCAGGCCAGGCATCATGGCTTCTTATTGAATCCTTCACCAGTGCACAGTAGCAACTTTGCATACTCGGAAAAAAAGAAAGGTCATTTTCAGTAAATTACCAATGCATTAGGAACATAGCACTTAGTCTACGTTGTCTAAAACTCTATTTACCAGCAGTTGACATCACAAATATGAGGAAAGAAGGAGAGTAGGATTCTTCCAACCGTTGTGTTGTGCCAAGAACAGATGATTCCTCTATGACTGCACTTGTTGACCAAAGGCAATGAACCCATTGTAAAAATACATACTTTCCCTGTTACTCGTATGAATCTGATGTGCCTTGATGTGCATAGAAAGGAACTCCCCTGTGGATCATAAAATCAACCAAGAGCCATTAAAACAGAGAAACAACATCACACATGGGATAAAGAAACAACATATATGAAATAAAGAGAAGACATATCCAACAAAGTACCTAGGATTACGGAGAGGGCTTGAGCAATTCCAAAAGTTCCACCGCTGGAGGGACAACATCTTGCTAAGGCCTTCTTATAGCGAAACCTTCACCGACATCTTCCTGGAAAAGAGACCCTGCAAACCATTTCTGGTAAGAGGGAATAGACCCATTAAACAAAATGAAAAAGTAACTTCACTAGAGAGAAATCAATCACCTAAAGCAAATCTGGGCAACTACCTCTTCTCTGAATCGTCTCAGACCTCTTAAATCCTATATTTGATGGATGAAAGATAATCAACTCTTTCAACTTCAAACCAACCCTTCAGAGTCCGTATGTATATACTGCATATTAGGTAAAACCTTAAATAAGAGAAAAATCAGCCAAATAAGAAAGTGCTTCGAGTTTGGAAAAAAATAAAACATTTGGAAGTTTGCGGTAAAAGGAGAGGATTTGAGATCGAAAACAGTGAGACAGTTCAAGCAAGAGATAATGGATAAAGATTCAACGTGATGAAAGAATAAAAGAAATCTCAATTAGGAAAAACAGAGAAAACGGACCTTGAGAATCTGGGCCTCCTCCGATTCCTCTCTCACCCTCTCAAATTCGCCAGTTGATTGCTCCAACCTCTACTTGTTTTCGGAAAGGAAAAGAGAGCCAAAATCAGAGAAAAACAAAAGTTGGTTTCATAAACCCTTATGAACGAAATAAAACTATGAGAGACAAAGAAGGAACAATCACGTGAAATCAGTATCGAACCTGTCGATCAAGGTCTTCTTCGAATCCTCCCTCCCTCTTTAAATAACTCCAGATATCTCCAGGTCCACTCCAAAACCCTCAAATCCCTTTCTTGTTTGCTCGTACTATCCTCTCTAGGAAAGCAATGGCCGATTTTTTTGGTTTCCTCTATGATCTCAGGTGCTTGGGGGACAAATTCAAAAGTGAGAAGGGGAGAGAGAAATAAGTTGATTGTAGTTTTTTGGGAGAAATCATATTGAGATGGGAGCAAAAGAGGTCCAGGAAAGAGAAAATGTAGAAGTGCTGGGTAGAAGAAATAGTGAGATTGAGGAGGTAGGTAGAATATGTGGTGGAGAAAAAGAGTTGTTTTTTCCCGGCTTAATTGCAAGTTTGGTCACCCGAATTGCTTAAAAATTTCACGTTTGCCACCCGAATTGATTTATTCCATTTATAGTCACTCGAATTAGTTAAACAGTCCAAGTTCGGTCACTCTCCGTTAACCTCCGTTAGACTCCGTTAATGACGACCGTTAAGTGATGACGTGGCTAACAGAAAGACACAGTAAGCACATTTAAACATTAAAAAAAGACGACCCGACCCAACCCGACCCGCCAACTCAGCCTTACCCGCCAACTCAGCCTTACTTGCCCAACCCAAGAACCAACCCAGCCATCAACAGAACCGCCGCTTGCTCTACCTCCCCCAACTTCCTTCTCTGCTTCTCCACCTTCGATCTCTGCTGCTGCTTCATCATTACTTCCCTTCCCAACGCCACAAATCTCGCTTTCAGCCCGTTTCCCACCAGCTTGTTACTGCTAGTGTGACCATTATGCCCTCCTCCTCCGCCACCGCCGCCATGAGTCAGAGCCTTCTTCGCCGCCGATTTCTTCTCGGTGGATGACGATTTGTTTAACCCTAGTATATCCCTTCTCTTCTTCCTGCTCCTGATCCCACACGCGTTGCAAAGCGACTACAAGGGAAAAAAAGGACAGAACCCACGATCAGAAACACAGATCGGACGGTGGAGATTGAATCAGAGATCGATCATGATTGTAATGAACGGCTGGCGATGATTAATTTACCTTGGGACCGGCAGGGCCACCTCTCCATAGAGGGGTCTTGCTTGTGCCGCAATCGGCGCACGTCTTCTTCTGCTGGCCGTCTCTTTCTCCCCCCGGCGAGGATCCCCGGCTGCCATCGTCATCGGCGTAGCCCGACATCTGAAAAGAATGATAACACTTTGATTAGCTAGCTGCTCTAATCATAGAGATCGAGATCAGGGGAGGGAGGTGAAACTTACTTTGTCACTCGGATCGAGCATTTTAAGGCGGGTGTAGTCAAGATCTAACAGGAACCCAGATCGGGAACAACTATGAGCTGAAATGAGAGGATGAAGATGGAGGAAGGGAACCCTAATCCATCTGCGATTTAATTTTCAGGGGGGGTTGGGTCTCGGGTCTGGGTTTAGGGTGAAGATGGCTGGGTTGGTTCTTGGGTTGGGCAAGTAAGGCTGAGTTGGCGGGTAAGGCTGAGTTGGCGGGTCGGGTTGGGTCCGGTCGTCTTTTTTTAATGTTTAAATGTGCTTACTGTGTCTTTCTGTTAGCCACGTCATCACTTAACGGTCGTCATTAACGGAGTCTAACGGAGGTTAACGGAGAGTGACCGAACTTGGACTGTTCAACTAATTCGAGTGACTATAAATGGAATAAATCAATTCGGGTGGCAAACGTGAAATTTTTAAGCAATTCGGGTGACCAAACTTGCAATTAAGCCGTTTTTTCCCCTTCACATCTCCAACTCAAATCGTCTTTCTCCTATCTCCGCTAGGAGAAGTCTCTGACCCAGCATCAAATCACCGAGAAAGCACGGGATGCAGAAAAGTCTCCCTAAGATCCAATAAGCAAGAATTTTTTATGGTAGAACAGTATTTTTTTCCCCTCTCAGCATCCTCCAACCAGATCAAGCAATCCCCCCAAGAAAAGCAAACCCCCCAAAAATGCTTCACCTTCTTTTCTCTCCAGGCGTCCTCCAATCAAATCAAGCAAACCCATCATTGCTTCCAATCCAGGACTGCTTCATGACTTAACCGGGGCCCATACCGTTTCCCTGTGACCAACGCGCGTTTTCTCCCAACGCCAAGCAGGCCACTCAATGCAGTACTCCCCGTCACTTTCTCCATCAACCCATCAGTCCTACCACGAATGACCTCCAACCCTCCAAGGGTCTCTACGACGAACAGAGAGACACAGACCATCACAAACACAGCTTACTGAATATGCACAGTATTTCGTCAGAAGAATAGTAAATTTAGGTCTAAATGAATAGCAAATTGTGTCTAAGTGAAACAGTAAATAAAAGCTAGCATAGGCCTAGCCTATAACATACAACAATATTTACATCTATTTTAATATATTTCAATGAATCAAACTATCGGTTGATATTTTTAATATTAAAGTGATATTATGGTTTGTAGTAATTTATAGAGTTAGGGACTAAAGAAATGTCTATAATACCCACTTTATTGCCAAAAGGAACCATGATAACTACCGAAGAATATGTTTGTTTACTATTTTCAGTGGTTCATGCTAGTGTATGCTATTTTATCATACACTCATTGAGTTTTGTTATCTACACCATGAATTAACCGGTATTTTGGAGATGATACTTACCCTAATCTCTAATAGGCGAATCTCCATACTTAATTCTCTAACTAAAACCATAAGATTCATTTAATCTAGCAATAATAACTGACAGTTCTAATTCAACGAAATACAATGAAGTACATCTAATAAGTGTGAACACAAGTGTATATCATACGTAAGGTTTACGATAGCTTTTACCATTTTTTGAGTTAGCGTATGTTTGTCATATAATATACAGTAGCATTCGTACTATTAGATGTACTTTGATGTACTTCATGGAATTAGAATCATCGGTTAAGATTTTTTATTGAAGTGATCTTACCGTTTGGGTAAGGGAATTAGGGACTCACGTTGACTCATTAGAGATTAGGCTATAGTATCATGCCTAACTTTGGTTATTCATGGTCTAAATTGCAAACCTCACTAGGCATATGGTAAGATTAACATATGCCCAGACGTACACTAGCACGTACACTAGATTACTCTACTCTGACAGAAACAAAGTTTGGAGTATGATATTATGCCCTAACTTTTAATGGATAAGACTCAAATTCGATTTTCTAAACCCAAACTTAAACCCAAAAAAAAATAATTTAATAAAAAATAATAATCGACTATTCTGATTTGCCAAAATACAACGACATACATTCAACAATCATATCATTCAGAGTATATACTCGAGAGGTGAACCACAAAGATAATGAGTGAACCACAAAGACACGGCCCGGGGAGTTTACGGATCCATATTAAGCGAATAATTTCTTCCCGGGTCAAGATTTTATCAGTCCTCATTAGGCTTCATTGTTGAAAAACGTTGCGGAAACAAATGTTGACTGGAAGTATGAGGATTTCAAGATCCCTACTCTGGATATAAATCCTATAGGGTGGCAAGAATACCGTACATAACATAGCTAGAAAAGTAGAGAATTATACTGTTGCTACATTTGATGATTGTTGGAAATTATCATGAGTTTCTAAATGGACTCCATTTTGCATTTTTGCAGTGGAGTGAAAAGTCATTTCGAAGCCACGAAGCTTATGACAGAACATCAGTTACATTATACAGGAGTTGTTGAATATACATCACTAGATTTGGGCCCGTCCGTTGGCCGGATGAATTTCAATAATAATGTAAATGACTATAATAATTGTTCGAAGTGAGACTGTATTAATTCATATCATGCGAATTCCAAATCATTTAGTTACTGAAAATACCATATTCATATAATTTTTAACATACTAACCCGATTTACCATGCTAACCCGATTTATTGACTCAAGTCCTTATTGAAAGTAAAAAACTAAAAGTCATGCAAGAAAATCGGTTCCTAAAAATTTAGTGAGACCAAAATATTTGCTCCTCACTATAAAAAATTTGTGCAAATTTAATTTTGAATTTCTTGTATAGCTCAACCTCCTCCCTCTAAAGCACAAACATCTCCACCAATTACAATGCATTTGTCTTTCTTAACGAAACCTTTATCTTCACAATATGTTCTTCCTTCTCATTTTCTTTTATTTCTCATTGAAAGCCAATCTTTAATAGTAAAATGTTTGGAAACACTAAATATTACATGCAGTATAATTTACGTCTCATAAATTTTTATGAGATTTGTTCTTTCTTCCAACACTGATAAACTACTCAGGGATCAACACAAATTTGATAATGTATAGATGAAAACTTAATGAATAATAGGGATGGCAATTACCCACTCATGGGTAATTTTTCCCAAATCCAAATAGACCTATTGAATATGGATAGGGTATGGGTGATGTACATATGGGTTTGGGGATTGTAGATGGGTTTGGGTAGGATATGAATATTCTTTCATAATCTATATGGGTATGGGTATGGGTATGGGTATGGGTTGGGTTCGGATACTCATTTACTTGAGGGTGTTTTAACTACTCATCCAAAAACTGGACCTATTTATGAAACTTCAAAAGTTTAGGTATTAAAATGTAAGACATAAAAATTTTAGGTACAAACATATAATTTTTCTTCAATATTTTGAGGACTTATATGCAAAAAAATAATTTTAGGTATTAAATCTAAAGACCTATTAAATTTATGTTCCAAACTGTAATTTACAAATGGGTATAAATCTAAATCCATGGATTAAAAATCCAACCCAACCCAATCCAAATAAAGGAGTATGACTACAATCCAAGGATTGAAATACCGTGCTGGCGGTTCGATCAGAAAAATCGATAGGCTGTATTTAACAGTATGAAGCGGTTGAACCACAGTTTTAGCATAAAATACCCTACCGGTGACTTTTGTGATACAACCTCTGGTACGGTATTTCAGTCCTTGCTACAAACCCATCAAACTCTACCAATTTACCATCTATTTGAATTTCATATCCAAACCAATTGGGTTAGGTAGTAAAATACTCATGGATATAGGCAAAATTGTCATATCTAATGAATAACCTTTATGGGTTGACTATTCTCCAATAGATATGTTGTTGTTTTTTCTTATATCTTTGCAGATTTGATTTCCCAATTTGTAAATCATGAATCAAGAAGGGAGTATCATGATTATTCTAAGTTGATTTGAAAAGATTGGGATCTTAGTCAATGTTCAGTCATCAAGGTGAGACACTTTCATAACAATCTA